GCTGTTCAGATAGATCTCTTTTGGGACCACTTTTCTTCTTACTATATAAATACCTTTTGATAGCGACTTTAGTGAAAGTCTCTTACTAGTAAATTTAGTTTCTCTTTGAAATGTCATTATTTTTCTCCTTTTGTTAAATGATAACTGTGAATATGACGCCATTCACGTAATTTACTTTTAGTACTTTAGAGATAACTTCACATCAACATTTCTTTTGATCATCTGATTCGCTACAAACTTTCTCCAGCTGTGTTTGAGCTACTTCTCTACTTAGTTCTCTTTGATAATCTCTCATGTCAACATCATGCTTTAAAGTACAGCATTTAGTCTTTAAATATATTAAACACATTCATTTCGCATTTTGCATTGTGTATCTCCATTATTTGCATCTTACATCTCCAATATCTGCATCGTTTACAAGTCTGATATTTGACTTTGCTGTAGTATATCACTAAGTTCAACTATTTCGTTATATATTTAGTGTTTCTTTTTGATGCCCCTGATGCTCCTGGAACTTAATGAACAAGGTAACAGCCTAAATTTAAAGGTTATATCTTTAGAAGAAATTTGTGTTTATTTCTACCTAGCAAGCAGGAAAAACACTGGCATAGAATAGAATTCAATAAATATATTTTACATGCAAGCTGTACACTAAGAGCATTCCCTGCATCACCTGAGTCTCCTCATGCTGTCAAGTGAATATTTCAAACTGGCTTGAGTTCTATATATTTGAGTTGCTATTTTTTTAGGCGCACTAAAGCTAGTGTAACATGGTCCCTCTTTTCTCCTTCATCTGCTTACTGAGGCTAACTCATTTGATCTTTTTTCACATTCCTTTTCTGGAGACACTTTTATGTTTTTTATTAATTTTATTGAGAAGCAAATAGAAATGAGACAGTTTCAAAACAGATTAGTAGGACAGTTTCAATAATTAATACATTGCGTATTGTTGTCTTTGTAGTGATTATTCATACTACAAGATGCAGGCATGATATCCTGTCCAAACATTATTAGTAAAACCTTTCTCATTGAATTAAGAGAAAGTAGCTGTATATCTGTTCTATTTTGTACATACAGATGCAAAATGGCCCTTCATTTGCATCCCCTTTTTTTGTTTACTTTTGTCAGAGATGGGTATTCCATTGCCATTTAAATATTGTAGGTGTGTGAATTCAGCAAAATAATCCAATATAGTCCAGTAGTCCAAAATAGTAGTGGGTTATCCGTAGGACTGGTAATGTCAGACACTTTACAAATCAGCCCAGCCGCACCATGAACAACATCTGGTGCAGACGTCCTACCTGTGTGTTTCCCTCACAGCTGGTGTTTACCCCAACATAGTTTTTCACAGGGCATTTAAATTTATGTTTGAATTTTAAAGTATAAGAAACCAAGAAGGTGCTGTAACATCTTACTTTGTGTCCTCTACACTGATTCTGTTGTCTAGCTTGTAGCAGATACCAGCAAATAATTTTCTGTAGATGAAAGAGTAAATGAAATGACATCAAAATATACATTTTAAACTCCAAATAGTTTATATTTAACTGAGAGGCCTTTCTCTTTTATAGCAGGTCTCACCAAAAACACCTTTCTTGCTTTTGCATCAGTCCTAAGTGTCTAGTTCAAATTTAGAAATTCAAATTCACTCTCCTTGAGTAAACTTCTTCAGAAATGAACTGCTACCTTTAGCCAGGGAGATAATTTAAGACTCACAGCAATCTTATTGTTTTGAAATGTGAAATATTAGCAAATAAATAGTAGGATAACCATGACCATTCACACTTACTCTAGTTAGCTATCAATTACATTTGTCCTATTTGAATGTATTGAGGAATTAAAACCTTAAAAAAAAAATGGTCATACTTCACTTCATTGTCTTTCACAGTGGACTCTTGAAAGAGTCATTAAAGAACCATCTTAATTTCTTTGCTGATTTGTTTTTATCATAATTCATATTGATAAGTTTGCCCATATCTAGATGCTATGTTTATGAAAGTTAGACTCCCCTGAGATTCTTTACCTGTTTGAATCTTCCCATCCAAGTGGACTCCCTGCCTTGGCAGGAACTTCATATACCTT